AAGCGTTGAGGAATTTTACCCATATTCCAGCAATATGCAAACTTGAAAGGTAATCCCGAGAAATTACAATGTACCCACCTCTTTAATCCTGTTATTTCTAAATCCTGGTCTGTCATATCTGCTTTCTGTACACAAGGAGCACAGAGAAATCCTGTGCTTATGACATACTCGGCTTCTCGGATTAGCAGGTGCGTATTTTCACAGACACGGTCAAATCAATTTGCAGAAACACATTTTGACTTGCCTCTTCCTATAGCGATAACAGGGTCACTTGCAGCTACCAGCTTGGTATCAGTCCTAAAGTAGGATCTCACCCCATCACACATAGAATAATAACAGAGTTATTTTCCACACTCCCTCCCCCCCCCCCCGTTAACTTAGTCTTTAAGGTTTCATAGGACTATCTGTTGCTTTTGCTGAAAAAGACTAACAGGGCTACCCCTCTGTTAATACATTAACTATGGGGAGGGGGAATAATTCATTCGTAAACATTTGTTGATGGCATAGATACACACACCCATTGTGAGCTATGATGCATGAAAAAAACACGTGTATTTCCACATCACCGGACAACAAAACGGAATAGAGACGTGTGGCAGAAGGGAAAATACCTGATGAGAACGAATGTCAGGATGGATTTAGGCACATGTGTGCATCCCTAGTATACAAGCAAATAAGTTTGCCAAGCTTTCTTCTAAATGCAAATGGCAGGTACAGTGGAGTCTTCTTCATCAGGACCACAGCAAGAAGGCTCTGTTTATATTCCTAATCCCTACCTGCTGTGATCCCAAACTCTAACATCGCCCCTCCTCCACTGCTGCATTTTTTTAAAAAAGCACCAAAATACTGGAATTTGGCCCTAAGTAAATCATGCCATGTACACTCACACTACAAAGGGCTCATAAACCACCTATTCTCAGCAGCCAAGAGCACCCTAGCTAGATGCTGGAGGGATCTGTCAGCAGGGAACATGGACTACTAGTACCAAACTGTATGGGAAACAGCCTTACTAGACATAGCTGTCAACTTTCAGATTTGAAAATAAGGGATCAGCAGCCTCAAAAATAAGGGATCAGCAGCCTCACCACTCCCAGGGACAGTCTACGGGATATCTAACAATCTGGGATAGCAGCGGGAAACGGCGCTGGAATAAGGGAATTTCCCGCAAAAAAAGGGAAGGTTGACAGCTATGCTTACTAGAAAAGCTAACCAACAGACTGAAACTGGCACAGGAACAAATAAAAGAGGATGCCTTCACCCTGGTGTGGCTCCCCTTTATTACACACACAGCCCAACAAGACAACAACAGGAACCCACCAACAGCATACAAATCAATATCGCTAACTTGATCCAACAACCTCTCCCCCTTCTCTCACACGCAAACAAAACTCACTGCAGTCAACTGAAGGCAACCAGCCAGACCCCTGGGCCCCCCAATCTCTCTCACCGCCAATGAAAACTAATAAATGAATAGAAACTACCCACATGACACTGACACAAAAACCTTGCACATACACTTTGTAAGAGAATGAAAGTTTAATACCCTTCCACCTCTCTTTCCCCCTAACCTTATGCTGGCAACATTAATGTCTCACACTGAACATAACTGATCTGTAGAAAGGACTTTATAATCTGAAAATTACTCTTTCCCCCAGGAAAAACCTGCTCTTCACCACTGAATCAGAGCAAACGTCAATCGGATTTTATCCAGACTGACGCTTGCTCCAATTTAGCGCCGAAGAGCAGGTTTTACCTGGGGAAAGTGGCAAGGAAAGGGCAAAACTACTCAGACCCATGCCCGGGACAAGTGGAAAACTGCTTGGACCCATGCTTTCTAGGTATGAGACAAGCACAAGTCTGAATAAGCCCAAAATCAGGTGATTTTTGTAAAAGCTGAATTAGCAAGGAGACAGCTCTGCACCTCTATGTAAACCTACAACCAAAATTTTACTGCGGTGCAAAAGAGAGGGTGTTCCTCCCTCTGGAAGTTAAGGACAGGTGCGTGTCATGAGTTGCTTCGCCTCATTACAGAACCATGAACCCAGACAGACAACGCAATTTGAAATCCCAGTCAGCGCAGACTCTTGTTTTGCCCTGAGCGAACCCATAAGAAATCTCCAAGGAAACAATTTCATCCTTCCTCTCACCCCATTCACCTTTACAGCGTGGTGCAGAGATTGTAAATAACAAACACGGACATTTCTAAAAATTATAGCGGCTACAAACTGTCCCTACTTTTTTTTTTTGGTTCAGCAGAAACAAGTAAGTGAATGCTCAAGGTGTCATGAAATGATAGGCAGGCAGAGAAAATGACCCACCCTTTCCAAATTAACAGGTTTACCATACCCATTGAGTCAATCCCCCATCTCCTACTACCCTTCTGAGAAAAACCCCACCCTACCCCACCCTCCCACTATATATAAGGGTCTGGTGACTTCTGTTTCAGTGTATCTGAAAGCTTATACCCAGAAAAAACTTAGAAGAAGAAGAAGAGTTTGGATTTGATATCCCGCCTTTCACTCCCTTTAAGGAGTCTCAAAGCGGCTAACATTCTCCTTTCCCTTCCTCCCCCACAACAAACACTCTGTGAGGTGAGTGGGGCTGAGAGACTTCAGAGAAGTGTGACTAGCCCAAGGTCACCCAGCAGCTGCATGTGGAGGAGCGGAGACTCAAACCCGGTTCCCCAGATTACGAGACTACCGCTCTTAACCACTACACCACACTGGCTCTCTAGTTGGTCTCTAAGGTGCTACTGGACAATTTTTAATTTTTTTTACTTATTTCCAAATTAACGTTGGTGCAGGGTTGTCTGTCTCTATTACAAACACTAACTCCTGGGCTATCACTGGGCTATTAATACTGCTATCACTGGGCTATTAATACTGCCTTCGTAGGGAAAGCCCTATAGTATTTATTACAGTCTTTTTTTCAAGGCAGCAGCAAGAACATTTAAAAAAACCGTGTAAATAAAGGTGCCACTCTCCAACATATAATATGGAACAGCGCTTCTGCTAAGGTGAGCTTGCCAGCCCGTTGTTCTTTTGAGTTTACAGTTAACATGAAAAGCTCCTTTTTATTTATGTAACAGCTTACTTATAACCAGTTTTAACTGGCAAAGGAATTTGAAACCTTTCTTGCACTGGGCAAGCATGGCAGGCGATTGGATTGTGCAGAAATGTCCCTGCCAATCTTTGCCTTCAGAGAGAGAGGCCATACGAGATTGTAGCCAGATTGTGGCGCACATGATCAATATCTGCAGAGTAAGCAATCTGGGCATTTTCCTCCACGGAGAAACACATTATCTAGTACAGAATGTTGAGTCGCAACATATAGTTGGCTCTTTTGCACAAAATAACAGAAGGATCTAGTTGTCCATTCACAGACCTTCCGGGCAACATGCATTCCTCTGGGGGCTGGGTGTAAATTGAGGGGATGTATATGTCATAATTGGCATCCTGTCATGGATTTCCTTCCATTATGATGTACTCAGGCACAACCGTGGTGTTTGCGAACCATTGCTACAGCAAAGCCTACAATATCTCAGCAAAGGTCATCCCCCTCCCCCGCCCCACTCCCCAATTGTTCATTAGTCATAAAGTGCCATCACTAAATGGATACAAAGTGATTTATTTTGCCATTAGTCTTATCTGGCTTTCTAAAGCAGAGGCTTTAATGAATATGCAAAAACCACATATATTTTATAATCTCCTCCATTTGATAAATGAACCCCTCAAGACAACTGCCTTTAGAAAATTATGCATATTTTGGCTTATTTCGCCTGTTTAAAACCCACCATTAGTATTTTCCCCCTTTTTCCTGACAACTCTGGTAACGACTGCATGCAATTCGGTCTTAAGTCAAAATCCAAGATGCTACTCTGTTCCTAAACTCCCCCAAAAGTGCTTTGCGGGAAAGGGAGGAATAATGCAACGTTTGTTCCCGTATCAATAAAAGGCACACTACATTTTCCAAGGTAACAGCAAAGATAATAGAGGGTGTAATAAAAAGCTGCCATGCGGTTCCCAGCTACCCAGGGAGCCATCGGTTTCAATTAAGAATACAGACTGTGGCATACACTGAAGGGAACCAAAACTCAGTTTAGTGTCATTATGGTCCTGTCCAGATGAGCCTTTCCTTTCCATTTTCACCTCAAGAGAACTTCTTGTCATCGTAAAAAGATCAAGCTTTATGTGTTGTGCCTCAGATCCACCTCTCCCTGAACAGAGCAGGGAACCTCATTTCTGCTTTTCATAGTGTTCTGTAACGTGAGCACAAACAAAAACATAAAAAGGTGTTCGGGATGAGCTTGAAATATGCCGCATGGGCAGAAAAACTATCTGTCTATATTACATTGTTGTACTGTTGTGGCCAGTGTGCAGGTCATCCTGACAGCAAACATGGTCCAAAAGGAATCTAAAAGTGCAGGGATCTGCGATGATCCAAATAAGACACAAACACACGCACCCACTCTAAAAGAGCAGGCACAGTACGCAGCAAAATAACTGAATGGTATTTACTTTAGGATCACACAGGGTGGGATTCAACTGAGTTTTTACTCAGAGTAGACTCATTGAAATAAATGGACCTAACTTATGTTCATGAACTGCAGTGGGTCCACTTTGAGTAAGTCTTAGTTGAATGCTGCGCATCATTTTTTTAAAAAATAAAGTTCAGAATTCTGACAATGTTATGTTTCTGTAAGGGGCGCCCAAATTCCTTTAACTCTTAGAAACTTGGAACTGTATCAATGCTCAGTCTCTATCTGTGAATTAAAATAAAAACAGGCTCTTTAGGCAAAACTATAGAAGCACAATTTGACGCATCTACATACTGTATATTTTTTGTTTTTAGGAAGATATAGATGGTTTTAGCTGAATACCACTCAAAGACCCAAATAGAGTTTGAAGAAAAGAGCCTGAGTCAGTTTTGATGCAAATTTAGCTTTTAATTATAAGTGCAAACCATCTTGCAAAGAAGTGCTATCATTTAAACAGCTGGTGTGATAGCTCAGCTGGTAGAGCATGAGACTCCTAATTTCAGGATCATGGGTTCGAGTCCCACATGGGGAGAAAGATTCCCGAGTTGCAGCGGGTTGGACTAGATGACCCTTGTGGTCCCTTCCAACTCTACATTTCTATGATTTGATGGAGCAGGAACTCCATCAAAGACAACGAAACCCTGCATGATTATTTTCCTCCTTCTCTGGCCCCTTCTATCCTAATCTGCCTCAGAACAGACTTGAAGGCCTCATTATCACCTCATTTACTTGCCGGAAAAAACAAGGAGGGCCCATCAATTACCCAAGCAGTCTTGATGATGCCATCACTCCTCCTCTGGAAAAAGCTATGCTCCTTGGTGCTGTTCTTCCACTCCCCCATTGTATGGTGTGTAGACAGATAGCTTTTCCCACGTATGAATGTTCTCCACGCCCGTTACCAGCCTTGTTAAACACAACCAATCCTGTGTTTTCCTTCCTTCATATAATCCTTCCTGCGTGTCAAGCAGCTGCACAGAGTGCATTCTGCAAACAGAAGGAGGGCATCCTGCCAGTGCTACCTTTCACTTAATAAAATTATGGCAAATCCAATATGCTACCCTGAACATTCTCTCTCTCTCTCTCTCCCCCCCCCTTTAATGCCCTGCTTAAACGTTCATCATAGCCTAATAAACATAATTCAATTTTCCCATTTATTTTTAGAAGGTACTTTAGGAAATCTATCTTGATATTATTACAAGGAGGGCAAGTTTAGACATCATACACCTAGGCTGTTGTTCACAGAAGTCTCTTGCTTCCCTTCCATGTCCCTGCCTTGTGCTTTTCTTGCAGCAAGGGAAATACGGGTGAGGTTCCTAGCCCTCCAAAGGCATATACTTGCAATTTGATTTTAAAACTATTTAGCCCCAATGGAAGGGCCTTAGCTCAGTGGTGGAGCATCTGCTTTATATGCCAAATATTCCAGGTTCAATCCTCAGCATTTGCAGGTAGGGTTGGGAAAGATCTCAGCTGCTACCAATCAGCATAGACAATAGTGAGCTTGATGGGCCAACGGTCTGATTCAGTGTAAGCAGGGCGGGCCAATACATTTTGGTACCCGAGGCAAGCCACAAAAATGGTGCCCACCCCCCATGGAAGAAGGGGGGAATCAAGATCTCTACATTGGGGGGGGGGAGGGGGTATAAGATCAACATTGAGAACAGAGGGAATCAAATCAACCCTACCCATTGGTTGAACTAGTAAGCAAAGGCCTTCGCAGAGAGAAAGGGCCTGCTCTAAATTGTGGGGTGTGAAACATAAGTAGCAGTCAAGTACAACATTCTTTGTTTGCCTAGAGTGGACATACAAAGGGGATGTTTGTTCCAGCCAGTCGAAAACTTACTGTTTGCTCCTGGGCTGGAGCATCTTTCCTTTTGCATGTGACTAGAGGTGGGCGTGACCTTACCTGTTCAGGTAACACAAAAGGATAAGGCAAGCAGCCATCTCTCTCTCTTTTTGGACCTCATCGTTGGACCAGCAGCTTTTTAGCCAATGGAGGACAAAGATACTATCTCCATATAGGATAGACCCACATGTAACTAAGTCTTCCTTCAGGGAACCATCTGTGAACTGATGATGTGAGTAAACTACTTTTATGTATCTTAAATAAGATTGTGGCGTGTTCATTCTTTTTAGAGGGATTCAAAGGGAACTTACCAGGAATGTTATTGAGAGGCTTAAACAAGCCTGAAACCAGCTACCCGTTGTGCGTTTAAAAGGGGAATGTAAAACTCTGCTAAGTTATAGAACTTGTGAGCGCAAGTTAGGAAGGATATTATTAAACAATATATCCTCTCCTGCCTCCCTGAACATTCCCATATAAATCACACCAGGTGGATGTAGCGGCCCAGAAGAGCCCAGAGCATAGCTGTCAACGTTTCCCATTTTAAAAGGGAAATTCCCTTATTCCGAATAGGATTCCTCGCAAGAAAAGAGAAAAGTTGACAGCTATGGCCCAGAGGGCAACTCCTGCCACTTCCTCCCTGAGGGTACAAGGAGACCAGCAGAGCCTTCTTTTCACAAAGAAGGCCGCTGCAGAGGCAGCATGGTGGATGCCAAGGCAGCGGCAAATCCAGTCTCCAAGGAGCACACCACAGAGGTTGGCCCCTGTGGATCCTGCCACCTGAGGCAGTCGTCTCACCTGAGTTTACAGCCACTTCCTATTTTCTGTGTTCTGTTATCAAGGAGAACCTGAATCACAGGGAGAGATTGCTTATTTGAATATATCCCTGCAACTGAGAATAATCACTGAGGGATAGGATTAGGCTTTCTATATTCTAAATCACTGCAGTAAAAACATGCAATCTTCTCACAGGCGACAACCAAACCGCTCCAATATTCACTTCAAATAAGCCATGGCTCTATGCCATGTCAGCTGCATGCTGACCTAGATGGAAGGTCTTTAGCACTGCCTACTTATTGTGTTCGCTCTGTAAGCCTCCACAACTCTCCACATTTCAGCCGGCCCGTTGCCCTTTCTTCCGTCATATCAATTTCTACTCCCTTTTCACTGGGCATGGGAGCACCGAGTCCCTTTTAAAACACGGAGTGTGGAAGTGTACGCTTAAGGCAATAGTCTGTGGCATCCAAAATATGTGCTCAGTCAGACGCCTGGAAACTGGAAGAACTATTGCTATTTCTGCCCTACACAGAGGGAGTCAACAAGCTGAGGAATGCCCAGTGGGTTGGAGGTAGCTATGAATGTTGGCTACACACACTTGGGAGGTAAAAAGTTGCTGGCTATAAATAAACATATAGATTTACCCCAGGGGTAAAAACTGCACATGTCCATCAGCCCTTCCCAAATAGAGATTTCATTGTGTTTTCTTTTTTTTTAAAAAAAAAAAAAAAGCACAACAGACCATGTACCAAGCAGAATAAAGTGGTACCTCGGGTTACATACGCTTCAGGTTACATACGCTTCAGGTTACATACGCTTCAGGTTACACACTCCGCTAACCCAGAAATAGTGCTTCAGGTTAAGAACTTTGCTTCAGGATAAGAACAGTAATTGGGCTCCGGCGGCACAGCAGCAGCAGGAGGCCCCATTAAGTGGTGCTTCAGGTTAATAACAGTTTCAGGTTAAGTACAGACCTCCGGAATGAATTAAGTACTTAACCCAAGGTACGACTGTATACTCTAGCTTGGTGGGCAGGGAGGAAATTTTCTCCATTTGGAGAAAATAAGTCTCCAAAAGCTGCAGATTATTTCTTTCAAAATGACAAAGAGCCTGGGATGATTCAATGCCTTGGAGCAGCCTTTGCTAACTTGGTAGACTTTAGATATTTTGAACTACAACTCCCATCTGTCCTAGTCAGCCCAACACATCTGGAGGGCAGCAAAAGCTGCCTTAAAACAACTTGTTCCTTTTTCAAGGAGACAACCTGGAACTGATATGAAAGGAAAAGCAGGAGCAACTTCAGAATGGTCCAAGGCGCCAGAACCTTAACTTCCTCCACCACTTGGCATTCTGAATCCATCCTTCCTTTGCATCGCTGGATACAGCATCCATCTTTCAGAGTTGTTTTATTACTGCCTTGCTCAGTTGGGAGGTGAAACAAAAAAGTCAATTAGATCAGCCATTGAACTGGGACATACTGTGTGAGTAATGGCCTGAATCGGCAGCATGCGCAGCCGAGATGCTCACAAAACAGCACAGCTTGCCACTTCAGCTGGCCTGTGGCCCATCTATTAGCACCCATTCATCATTTCAGAGGGGTTGGGAGCGGGGAAATATGACGCTGGAAGAAAATAAAAACCTGAATGGCAAAAATGGTCAGGAGAATAGAATAGGAGTCCTGAGAAAAAAGGAAGGTGGGCATGTTAAGACTCTTAAAACACTTGAAGGGATGTTGCAAAGAGGAGGGCAAAGACCAGAGGGCAGAACAAAATCTAATGGGCATAAACTATAGGTTCTGTCCATTTTGGTTCTCTCCATTTCTAATTCTTCAAATCTCAAATTCACTTCTACAAATTTTGCAATTAAGAAAAATATCCTCATGAAAACCCAGAAGCATTTATACAGCATATTCCTTCAGATAGATACATTCTATATGCATTGTTATATGTTTAAGGTTTTATTATGTTTTTATATGTGTTCAAAGTCACCCACAGTGGCTGGGACAATCCAGACAGATGGGTGGGGTACAAATAAAATAAAATAAAATAAAATAAATAATAATAATAAAGTTTCCAGACTCACACACCTCTCCACTTCAACACAGGGATCCTACACAGTAAGTATTTGTACACAGAGAGATTTTTTGCCAGCATAGATTCTCCTTCTGTTAAAATGTTATTTACCACTTTAAGGGGGGGGGGCTTGCTTTCTTATAATTTTAATTGCCAATCTTCATTTCATTTCGATTTGTAAAATGACCTTTCTATATTACTATATACAAAGCAGTTTACGGCAACAAAATATACAACAAACAACACACACCTTATAATAATCTGATCCAATACAGAAAGTCCTAATAAAACATAACTTTAAAATAGAATGGCTTATATGAAATAAAGTAATATTCAATAATCTATTTGAATATAATAGAACAAGCAATCTTCCTTTCTACACTCTTAGTCTCAAGTCCCCCCCCCCCTTTGCTGAACATTTCTTTCAACAGATTATCAGGCAGGAAGAATTTTATTGACAGATTATAAATAAATTGGATGAGACCTAGGCAGGTTAAACTTGAGGCAATCTCCCTTTGAGGACGATTTCCCTAACTTAATTTATCTTGTCACATTGCCAAAATAACTTGACCCAGGAGAAGGTTAAAAAAATTGTTTTGATTTTTATCTAGTTCGCTTGATGAGGAGCAAGCTACATGGAAAATGTTGCCTAGCAACCCAGTATCTATTCCAAAATGGAGCAGAAAAGAAATTGCTTGCTGGGACCCTCCATTACCTCATCATGAGGGATACAGAACGGCTCCCGACTTAAATTCCTGAGATTTGCAGCTTCCAGTTTATACTGTCAGATGCGAGAATTGGATGGCTGATTTGAGCTGACCTTCCTTGCTTTCATTTGCGTCACT